ATGTTACCAGCGGAAACGATACATGGTAACATGACACAGTGTTAATTGATAGCGTCGTTTAAAAGAAAGGTTACGTGGCGCCCTGCAACCCCTCTAAATTTAATGTTTTCGGCATGAGAAAAACAATGTTTTTTATATATAGTAATGATATATATATATATATATATATATATATATATATATATATATATATATATATATATATATATATATAGGTTGAGGTTTATTTGAGATCATGCTAATTTTGTGAGACCGTGAGACCAAATCTAAATCTTTTTTTTTTTTTTTTAAAATGCAAAATAAAATGAAAAATACGAAAATTCTTTTTTAATTATTATTTTCGTCACTTTAATTACCTAAAATTTTTTTTTAAAAATTACTATTTTTTTGAAAAAAAAATACGTGAAATATTATTATAGAATATTACACTGAAAATATCCTAGTGATTTTTAGAATGTTAGAATATTCTACTGGATTTATCAGATATGTAAAATATTTTAATATTTTGCTAGAATATGTAAAAAAATGCACTTTTTTTTTTGTATTTTTTTAATTTTATTTTTGGAAAATATAAATGATGAAAATCATATTTGATTTTTTTTTTTTTGAAAATTTTGAATTATTTTGCATTTTAAATGTTTTTTTTATTACAAAATGAGTGACTAGATTGCGTCTCACGGTCTCACAAAATTAGGTCATCTCACATAAACTAACCCCATATATATATATATATATATATATATATATATATATATATATATATATATATATATATATATATATATATATATATATATATATATATATATATGTTTAGGTTTTATGGAAGAAAACCCTAAAACCATAAAAATACATAAAAAAATACTTAGAGATCACAATTTTTTTTTTTTTTTTACTTTGTGTTCTTTAAGAAGACACCTCTTTATATAAATTCATTGACTTCTTTTTATGAAAAAAAACCAAAAAAAATAAAAATAAAATAAAAAATAAATAAGTAAAATAAAAAATAAAAAATCGTTTTTCAATTTTTTTCAATGAAATTATAAAAAAAGATGCAATTTTTAAGAATATAGAGTAAAAAAAAGAGTTGTGATGTCTAAGTATTTTTTTTTATGTATTTTTATGATTTTTAGGGTTTTTTTTTATTTGTTTTCCAAATAACCCTCTATATATATATATATATATATATATATATATATATATATATATATATATATATATATATATATATATATATATATATATATATATATTGAAATTTTGTCCCAAGACTATTTTTACAAGGGTTAATTGATATGTTTATTTTAACATTGAGACATATTTGCTAGTAAGTTGCTATTTTCTTACTATTAAGCCATTTATCTCAAGTATTTATTAATGTTTTACAATAAGTACTAATTTTATTTGGTATTGTATGTATGAAGGATCTCAATCATTAGCTATTTTTTATAATTGTAACATCCAACATAAAATCACATCTCTTTGACACTAGATGGATGGAAATCACATCTTTACGACATTATATGATTGTAAGATCTCATAACACAACTATTCCATTTCACTATTCTTTACCAAGTTTATGTTTCTAGCTTGAAGAATAAGTGAATTCAGGGGATCAATACGACGTACAAAAAGAAGAAGAAGAAGCATAAACATGAGATGGGGTTTTAGAATAGATTAATATTTTAGATGATAGATACTTATGGCGCTTATGAGTTATGATGATATAGAGTTACATATTGGTAACGATTTAATTAATGAAATATTAAGAAATTAGTAAAAATTTGAGTAAATTATACGATTGGTCCCTATGGTTTAGGGTAATTTTCACATTAGATCTCTAACTTTTTTTTTTAACTTGGAAGGTCCATATTGTTTGTTTTTGTTATGCGTTTTGTACTTTCTTACCTAAAAAGATTATTTTGCCATTGATTTTTTAATTTATTTAAATAAACACCCCCAACCTCGCCCCCTTCTCCTTACCGTACATACTCCACTATTTTTCTCTATTTAAATAATAGTAATCTTTTTAGGTAAGACGGGACCAAACGCGTAACAAAAACAAACATTTAGGACCAAGCGCGTAGCAGAAACAAATAGTAGGGACTTTCTGAGTAAAAAAAATAAGTTAGGGACCAAGTGCGCAAATTACCCCAAACCATAAGGACCTTTCGTGTAATTTACTCTTAAAATTGTGTTTATTTTAAATAAAAATTTTAGTTCTACAAGTGAAAAGACGTAAAATGTGGGGGTTTTTATGGAAAAAATCTCATTTTATGTCGGTAACTCCTGAAATAACAAGTAATAAATAAAAGACAGAATTGCAAATTTATTCCTTGTGGTTTTAAAAACTTTTGGATGGAGTCCAAAAAGTTTCTAACTTGCATCGAAGATTCAAAATCAAGGTTTTTATGTGTTTTTGGTTCCTGATACACTTGAAAAGACGATTTTACCCTTTTCATTTTATTTTTTTTATTTTCTCTATTTATTTTGGTATTTAAATAATTAGAAAAAACTAAACTCTCTCTCTCTCTGGTTTGCATCTTACCATACAAATACTACCCCTCCTTCTTCTTCATTCACGACCAAGAAAATCCACCGGAGGTGGAGCCGTTTTTCCGACCACCAAGACAACAACAACCCAAACACCCCTTCCTTTGTATCTCCTGCCCTACTCCGACCCCCTATCATTTTCCCATATACGCCTATCGTCATTCTCGTCAAGTAGAAACCCGGACACAACAGTAGGAGGCTACTAGAGCAACCTTTGCAACCCATGGTCGCTACTGCTTGTGGTCGTCATTACCTTCCTACTACCATAGTTTTTGACCACCACCAAACTCTCCCCTCCTCCCTCATCTTCTCCGTTGTGTGCTTCCAGACGCAAAGGGAACGAGGCAGCGGAGCTGCTATCACTAGCCACCCGTCACCGACCACCACCTCATTGCTGCCACTGCTATGAACCATCACCACTTCTGAATGCTGCTTCCGTCGACCCTCTCTGTCCAGCCACGACTCTAATTTAAAGGTGATTGCCATCCCCCTCTTATTTGCTTCGTCCGATCGAGATAAGAGACTCACTATGAATCTCCATTTTTGTTTAAGCAAACCTCCATTTTTGTTTAAGCAAACGTACAAGTCAATGTAGACTCAATCCTATTGATGATATTGTTTACAATCGATGTGGGCGCTTTGCGTTAGAATTTGTGTCTGTGTGTTTGGGTTTCAATTTCTTTCTATTGCTTGATTTTGGTTTTTGTTCATCAATTTTGGGATATCAAAGATGAACTCCATGAGATTTGAGAAGACGAAGAGAGAGATTACAGTGGGTGGGTGGGGGATACCTTTTTTCTTTTTTCTTTATTTTTTAGTTAAAAAAACATTAGAATAATTATAAAAAATTCAAAAAAGAAAATAAAATGGCATAATCGTCTTTTTAAGTTTTTTTGGATTAAAAACCTAGATTTTGGACCTTCAATGCAAGTTGGAAACTTTTTGGACTCCATCCAAAGGTTTTTGAAAACCACAAGGACCAAATTTACAGTTTTGTCTAAATAAAAATTGATTTTTTTGTATAAAATGTAGTTTTTTTTTTTTTATTTTTTTATTTTTATTTATTTTTTTTTTTTTAAAGAATTTGATCTATTTATTTATTTATTGAAAAAACCTTAATTATAATGCAAAGTTCATAATCTACCTCCTTGTAGAAACCACGATCCAGATCTGCTTTCTGTAGAAGCTCGTACTCCCATGGAGTTCTTTGACGAAGAAAGCAGACCCAGATTCGTCCTTCAATCCCGATCAACCCCAAAAACTACCCCCAAATCCGAAAAGCTTGATGATCTCCACAAGCCTGCTCTCTTTGTCTCTCTTTCCCTCTCTGCCCTCCTCTTAACCCTCTCCCTTTTCTACTTCCAATCTGATCCTCTGCAATCCATCTTCATCTGGTTCTCATTATCTCTCCTCGTAGGCCCCTTTGCTCCTCCCTCCCTGACAGCTGGCGACATCCGGGTCGGTCTTGGTCCGGCCATCCAGCCCCAAAGTCCTCGACAAACCCCAGAACCCGAACCATTAAAAAGATCAAGATTCAAGACAAAAAAACCTGATCAAGATTTCATATCGGTCCCGGCTGTCGTCGTGAACGAAACTCCAAAGCCCAGCAACAAGAGCGATTCAAATGTTATTGTGGTGGAAGATAAAGAATGGAGTGAAGGAGATCTGGAGTTGTTGAAGAAGCAGATGGTGAAGAATCCTGTAGGGATGCCAGGGCGGTGGGAGGCGGTGGCGGAGGTGTTTTCTGGGCGCCATAAGGTGGAGAGTGTGGTGAAGATGGCGAAATCGATGGGCGAAAGGAAAATTGGCGACTCAGATTCTTTTTCAAAGTTCTTGAAAGATAGGAAGGCAGTGGACAAGAGGGTTGATGAGGTTATTGAGAATGAAAGGGAGCAGGTCAGTAATGGTGGAAGTTGGAGCTCCGCCGAGGACATAGCTCTGCTCAATGCTTTAAAAGCTTTCCCTAAAGATTCAGCCTTGAGGTGGGAGAAGATCACAGCTGCTGTCCCTGGAAGATCAAAAGCAGCTTGCATGAAGAGGGTTGCTGATCTTAAAAAAGATTTTAGGAGTTCAAAAGTTTCTTCCGAGGCTTAAATCTTAATCAATCAAGAGGTAATTGTTTTATCAATTGAGCATACCATTTGAGTCTATACTCTATAGCAATTTTGAATGGATGATGGGATGTATGAGTGATGTAATTCTATAGCTACTGTTGAAACTATAAAGTTATTAATTTTAAATCTCCATAATATATGTGCTAATGATCAAATTAGACATGACAGCTTCAATCCATTGCTTTAATTTGGGATCTTGAATCCACAGACGAAATTTGCTTAACTGAGGATGGAAATGGAATGCATAACAACTTAAGGAAGATTGTGAATGGCTTTATGTTTGAGGAGATTGATGGGTCATTGCTTAATTCGTGTATCAAATTCTAGTTGGATGACTATTGATGAAACTTTACGATTGTTAGTAATTTATAACTTACTTTAATTAAATGATTGCTACCATATAATTTCTTTGTTGGTGTTTATTCAATGACAAATACTGCTCAATGGAAAGAACATAGAGAGCAGCAAGGCTTTGCAGAATGTTAGCATGAATGCAGTTAAGCAATTTGATTTGCTTTATAAAAACCCAATTGACTTGAGATAGGTATGATAATAGATTATGTGTTGTACGCATTTGGGCCTTTTTAATTGATTCTAGCAATATTTACACTGATTATGTCTTTTATCAAATGTGTTTTACTCTGATTGATTGGATTTTTGCAATACTTGTCTACATATTCTGGTGAAACAATCATTTTAAAAGTCATGCATGATGGATTGATGGTTTAAAAAGTCAATTAGTATCTATTAAACCATCTTTACAATCCGTGGATAATCAAAGTTTCCAAGGATTCAGGGCTACTTACTATGGTCTTTTTGAAAATTCTATGTATAATATATGGCCAAGTTGTGCATGTATAGTGTGTTTTTTATATGCATTAGATTAAGAATGAGCGTTCTAAGATGCATTGGAACAATTTTACAGTTTTCTCTTTTTATACACACTAGACGTTTCTAGTGTTAGCAAAATCTACTATCATTTTTTTTTTTTGTCTTCTTTTCTTCTGAAACATTCAGCCACGGTATAATGATTTTAGTGAAGATGAAGTTGATACAGCGTCTGAAAGTGAAGATGATTGTTTGATTGATTTCAAAAGTCTGAAGCATACAAAGATAGGACTTACTTTCTTTGACTTTTAAGGTCAAAAATCAGCTTGACAGTTTGATGTAAAGTAGTGTTAAAATGTTGTGAAGTTTTAACAAATTATACGACTTGTTACAACACAGATTCTGATTGAAACGCTCTATTTTACATCTCAAAAGTCAACATCTGACCTTCTATATTGCACTAGTAGATAGTCACAAACGATGAGAGTTGATGCATTGAACTTGGATGATTGAAGTTGAAGCATTTGACCGATAAAAGTCAACGTTTGACCCTGTGATCATATTATATTAGATGAAGGGGTGGAACTCTGGTACTAGCATAATCAACATTATTAGTTAATTGAATCTTTTTGATGTTTGAACCTTTAGATACTATGAATTATATTATAAACAAGTTGAGCTTATAACAAATATTACAATGAGAAAGTTGTTGGAACCAGATTCATACTAAATAATTGTCTGAAAAGTAGTTATATTGACTTGAAAAGTCAAAGTCTATGTGTACTAAATCGACTCAAATATAATTTAGCTTTTGTGTTTGCGATTGAAGTTGAAGTCTTTGACGGTTTGACCCATGAAAGCTACCAAGACAAGAGCCCTAAATTTGACTAGTGATCGAATCGGTAGAAGAACATTGATTGCTTAAATAATTATATGTATAACAAATCAAATCTTGTATAGCCTATAAACAGCCCATATTGATTCCTTTATCACACCACAATTATCTTGTTTTTTCGAGGTATTTTAGATCGTTGTGTTTGGCAAAATATAGACTTGTGTGTTTTTAAAAAACTACTCATGCTAAAGTTTTAGCTAACTTATTGATTCTTTTGACAAATAAAAGTGTTTTCTTTAATGCACATATTAAATAATTAGTAACCTGTGGAAGAAAGGTAACCACAAGATGTCGATATGTCCGAGTGGTTAAGGAGACAGACTTGAAATCTGTTGGGCTTCACCCGCGCAGGTTCGAACCCTGCTGTCGACGAGATCTTTTTCGCAAATTTGACAAATTGAATGTTCATTTATGACGTTAATAAATAACTCTTAAAAATTAAATTTTATTTAAATATTTTTATTCATTTAGTCAACTCTATTTTCATTGAGTCACCACCATCTTAAACATGGATTCGAGTTACTATATGAATTTAGTCGTCTGGGGTTGCAATAAACGTGTTTGTCCAATGCCAATGCCCAAATCTAAGTTCGCATACAAATAATAATATTTTTTTTTAAAACGTCCAAATCATTAAGTTAATTGTACAACTAATCACTAATAAAATAATATTAAAATTTAAACAAACTCCTATAAATCTTCACTTCCAAGGTATTGACCAGATATTTTTTTATCCAAATAATTACTCAACACCCTATATATATATATATATATATATATATATATATATATATATATATATATATATATATATATATATATATATATATATCTCACTATTTATAAAAATAAATTGAATATAATAATAATATATTTTTTTAAGACGTTCAAATCATTAAGCTAATAGTATAAGTAGTCATCAATAAAATAATATTAAATTTTAAGCTGTGTTTTGAATCCTTATATTTCTCAACAAATTCTATCTCCTTCCCTGAATTTCGGATAATTCAAAATTTGAAACTATCAGAAAATACATGTTGATTCAAATATCTCTCCTACAGATGACTCTTTCTTAACAGTTTTTTATTTTAATCCTTACTTGTAATTGATTTCATCATTTTTAACTTTTTGTATTTTTATCTTATAAATATATTGGGTAAAGGCTTTATTATATCAGGTTTGTTCCTAAAAAGGTTTTTACTATGTTTCTTTAATGTGTTGGCTTTGAAGGTTCAAAGAACTCAACCAAAAGGGCCAGTTAGAGCATTGTATTATCATTAGTTTGTATATTTTGGCATCTTACTTTTGCAATAAAGAATGGTTAAATACAAGATTTGACATGATTAAGGTAATTTGTATATTTTTCATCTTGTTTAGTCTAAAAATGAAACCTTTTTCATCATTGGTCATTATAATATCAAGTTTCATCACATGGACTTCCTGATTACGGTGATTATTGTCCTTATTATAAGGTTCTATATACATTTTGTTCAATATTATAAGGTTTCGAGAACCTAAATCAATATGAATCCTTGAATCACATACCATTGTTGAAAATGTTTTAATTTATGACAAAACTTGGTTTAAAATCACAATGAACAAGTTGACACCTGAGTATTTTGGCCTTCTCAAATGCCTATTTATCGACTTTTGAATCATAACACCTGATATTCTAAAGGTTTATTTTTATAAACTATTATTTATATATTTTAGCATTTTACTTAGTAGGACATTAAATTAATAAATGAATTAAGGAAAACGAAAAAAAACGATAAACAGTACAAGTGGTTTGGGTATGTATAAATGGAAGTAATAACCATTTAAGAGGTGTTTGGCAAAAAAACGTATTGCTTATTAGTTTATTAGCTTATAAGTTAATAAGTAAGAGTATGATAACTTATGAAAAAAATGACGTATTAGAGGTTCCCCACCAGAATAAGTTATTTTAATCCAAACATTTTTTTTAACTTATAGTGATGTGGAACCTAATAAGTTGTTTTAAAAAAAGCTTAGCCAAACACCCCTTTAATATGGTATGGTAATGCTCTTGAAAAATAGATGTCATTTAATATTCATTTCTTGAAGTGAACGCAAAATGGTTTTAACTCTAAAGAGATCAAACTATTCGCCGCCCACCGCTTTACGGGTGTAGACGGCTAGTGTGTATATATATATATATATATATATATATATATATATATATATATATATATATATATATATATATATATATATATAAACAAATAATATATGTAAGTAAAATTTATTGAATTGTTTTTAAAGAATACAGAAATAATTTAAATACAAACAACCAGAAAATTAATGCTTCCTCGTGTAATAAAAAAAGAAATTATTCATACCGGGCTACTTAAATTGAATATATATATATATATATATATATATATATATATATATATATATATATATATATATATATATATATATATATATATATATGAAACATTATTTCAAACAGTCTAAACTAGTACAAAGAACATCCAACAATGTCAAAGCGCTAAAATATGTTTATGTCAAATTTTCTTGATGTTTATTTTGATATATTATATGTTTATGATTTTTTTTTAAACGACATATCTTTATGATTTATGATAAAAAAAAAACATACAAATCATTATAGGATTTAATGTCGTTTTAAGATTGGTCCTTGTTGTTTGCGAAAAAGTGTGGATAAGGTTCAAAAAGTTTTCAACTTGCATGGAAGATCCAAAATCAAAAGCTTCATGTGATTTTGGTCTAAAAAAAATTTGAAAAGATGGTTATGCCCTTTTGTTTTCTTTTTGTATTTTATTTAATTATTCAATACTATTAGAATACTTTTTTTTTTTGTAATAATTACTTTAAAAATAAAAAGAAAAGAAAAAATTATCCCCCCACTCCCAACCACCCCACTGTTCATATATATATATATATATATATATATATATATATATATATATATATATATATATATATATATATATATATATATATATCTCATTCTTCTAACCCACCTTCGATATCATGGGGAGCTCGAACTCTACAATCCAAAACTACAGATCATCTGATAATTTTTATCTAAATTTGAAAACCTGTTATGGGTACCCAATGAGGCTCAGATTTGGTGCTAATTTGGAGTTTAATTTTGGTTTCAGAATGAGGAATGGAGTTAGGCCATTGAAGAACGGTGATGATGGGAATCGGTGGAATTTTTCGACGATGAATGTTGTGAACACCACCGGTAGCGACAACAATACTGGCTCCGGGGAAGGTAAAGATAGCACCGGTGGAAAAGAAGTAAAGGAAAATGGAGGAATTGATGAAGAGGTTGGAATTGGAATTGGAGCAGGGGAATTCGAATCAAGGAGAGCAGAATTCAAGTCCTAAAAATGGGTCCAGATTACTATTGAAATTGAATTACGAAGAAATAATGAAACCTACAAATCATACTTGCAGATTGGTCCAGATTTCAAATCCATCTCCTCTAAAATCGGATAATGAAATTCCTAATATTGTTCTCCTCCTAAACGTGGACAAGGAGGAGGCGGAGAGGCTTCCACCGTTGACTGTGGTGGTTCTCTTCGCCGATGGAGTGAGAAACGGTGGAGAGTGACGAGGGGATGTGGTTCATGGCAGTATTCTTCGGTCAAATACTTCGGTCAGTGGAAAAAAGGAAGAACCAAGGTGGTTCCGGGTGGTTACATAGCAGCAACACCACCCTTGGCTTTGTCATTCTAGTAGCAACATAAGCGAGTGAAGGACATGGATGCCAGGAGCAACAATGACACACTCGTGGGTGCTTGACTTGCTCCGATTATCAACAAAAGAGGGATGAAACACGGTGGTCTTAAGCAAGGCAATAACAATGGTGGGTATTATTTTTGGGTTTGTTGTGTTGTTAGAGAGAGAGAGAGAGAGAGAGAGAGAGAGAGAGAGAGAGAGAGTACGGTGGGGTAGGGGTGAAAAATTCTTTTTTTTTTTTTTTTAAAATCAAAATAACATTAAAATACTTATTGAAAAAAAAAGTAAAAAACAAAATAAAAGGGTATAACCGTTTTTTTAAAGTTTTTTTGGATCAAAAACCCAAAAAAAACTTGATTTTGAATATTCCATGCAAGTTGAAATTTTTTTAGATCCTATCAAAAGGTTTTTGAATACCACAGGGACCAAATTGACAGTTTTGTCTAAAAATAAGTAAACAAATAAATAATATATGTAAGTAAAATTTATTGAATTGTTTTTAAAGAATACAGAAATAATTTAAATACAAACAACTAGAAAATCAATGCTTCATCGTGTAATAAAAAAAGAAATTATTCGGCTACTTAATTTGAGCATATATACTGATATATATGTATTAAACATTATTTCAAACAGTCTAAAGTAGTACAAAGAACATCCAACAATGTCAAAGTGCTAAAATATGTTTACGTCAAATTTTCTTAATGTTTATTTTGATATATTATATGTTTTTGATTTTTTTTGAAATGGCATATGTTTATGATTTATGATAAAAAAAACATACGAATCATTATAGGATTTAATGTGGTTTTAAGAACACAAAAATTAATGTTTGGGTATGGTAGGCACCATTTTTGGGCACTGTGGTCCATTTGGGGCGAGTGATGGTCTCATGGACTTGCCTTGCTAATGATATTTTTTTTAATTTATTTATTTATTTATTTTTAATTTTTAATTTTTTTTAAACGATAAGCTGTCATATTCTTAATCTTAATTTAATCTTAAATACCATCTGTCTTTTAATGAGAGTTAAACCCATAGACCTGCCTTGCTGATTAGATGATTGCAGTATTGCACCTATGCTTTGCTCTAATAAATATCCAAATTACATACTAAATTTTAAATGTGAAAAGAATAATTTTAAAAAACAATTTACTTAAATTCGAGACACCTTTTATTACTGGTTGTCAATAAAAAAAAACTTATTGATGAAATATAGAGAAAATTACAAATTTAGCAGTTTTTCTTAATTACTTCACAAAAAATAGCAAAAAAAAAAAAAAAAAAATCCAATTTAAAAAATTAGCTACTAAAATCGTAGATGGATTTAATCCATCTGCGATTTCGATATTTGATCTGTGAATGTACAAGTATTTAAAGCGTAGACGTGCATTGGTAGTTGTATGTTCGCAGATGGATTCAGTTCTATATAATCTACCCTAATAAATAAGAATGATTTTTGTAGATCATATAGATATTCAAAAAGTTTATTTAAAATTTTTTTTTTGTAACTCCCCGACTCTCAGGTATTAATTTTACAACTTTATTTTTCATATTGAAAAGTTTACTCGATGAGTTGGATGCCCTGACTCGTCGAGTAGGAACGTATTTGGCCATGTGTTTAAGTGACCAACTCGATGAGTTGGAGATGAAGGATGAAACCCTAATTTCCGGGGTTTTGCACCATATTTAAAGGATTCTTTGCCTACTTAGCTCCCCTTACAGCCCCTTGTGCGTCCAAAAACCCTAACTCGTGTGTGTGCTCCATTCTTGTGTGATTTTCAAATTCGGAAGGTGAATTGCAAGGAGAAGACTTGAAGTATACAAGTAGCAGTGCAAGAGTATCTAGTGGATCTGACTTTTCTGCTTCTTGGCATCAATTTGAAGGTAACAAGTCGTTACCTTGACCTTCCCTCTTTCTAGATCTCTCCATGTTGAAGATTAGGGCTTTTCTAGTATATATCTTAACCATTTTTGAGTATGGGCTAGGATCTGAAGCTGCAACTTCAAATCTGAGCTTATCTTGGTCTCTATAGCTATAAAGTCTCCAGCTTTAGCAAGTATGAACCTTTCCTTTTGAGTTAAACCCTAATATAAGCTTGGATTTGACATTCTAACCCTATAGAGCCTTGCATGCACGTAAAGTTTACAACTTTACGTGATAAACATGCCTTGGGAAGCTTGATCTGCAATATGGAGCTTTGGAATGGCTTAAAAAGCATCTGAATGGAAAAAGGACTGAAGGGAGTCGCCGAGTTGCATGGCCAACTCAGCGAGTCCGATGAAGATTGTCGTGCAATGATTTCTGCATGGACTCCGCGAGTCAGTAGGATGACTCGGCGAGTATGCTAGGGTTTTCCCAACTTTTTAACATGCATGAACCCGGTGAGTTGTAGGGAAACTCGATGAGTCAACGGGGGATTTCATGACTAGTCGAGTTATGGAAGGACTAGACGAGTCAATGAAATGCACTCGACGAGTCGGGTCAATATGGATTGTTGACCTTGACCATTGACTTGGACTTTGACCAAGGGTTGGCTAATTAACTTCTGGGGTATTTTGGTAAATTGGAAATTTATGGAAATAGTCTTATGGTAAATATGATGTGTTTTGGTCATAAGAACATCCTATGTGCTCATACAAACCCTAATGCTTGGATCTAGGTTTCTCTATTGTACATGCAAGTTATCCAAGACTATAAACCCTAATTCTAGCATTCAAGTAATCATATTAACATGAGAATAGGTTTAAGATCATACCTTGATTGTTATGTAGCAATAACAATCTCAATTCCTCCTTGTATTGACTTTAGAAAGCTTAGAGTCACAAATGTCACTGCTCTAATGGTTCACAAACACCAAGAGCAAGAGGATGAAGAGGAGAGAGGATGGAGGCTGCCCAAAAACGTGTGAAACCCTAGAAGGATTCTTAGCCACGTTTTTGGGTCATAAGGGATGTATATATAGTTAGGCTATTAGGGTTATCCAACAAGGAAACCCTAATTTGGATGCTTAAGCCCTAAGCAACCCATGGATTCCTTTCCTTAAGGCCTTGGATGATTTCTTATGGGTTTCCCCATAGAATTCGTCCACTCCTTAATATAAGGCAATCCATGGCCCAAATTGCAATTATCTTATAATTACAATTCCAGTCCCTTAAGTTTAATTAATCTCTTTTAGTCACAAAACTAATTACCAATTAATTCTTGACTAATATTAATTAAACAATATGATTTCTCCTTTAATATATTATGAGAATAATATATTAATGAAGGCAACCTATCAAGTTGCTTTGATGAAGGCAACCCAAAAGGACCATGCACCATCGGGTCAAGTACATACCAAAATAGTTATGGACTTAGACACTAATCCAACAGTCTCCCACTTGGATAAGTCTAATAAATATTTGCGTATGACTTCAGATCCTGATCTGCAATCGTAGCTTTCCAAAGCCGCTGTCAACTCTGATCCTATCAGATACGCGTGTCCTTTAGATAAGGGATCATATATTCCTCCATTCTAGATATCGTATGAGACATGATTTCAAATCATTCTCTTTGTACTATTTCTCGATTCCCGATTTATGACGACTGACTAATTGAACAAATCAAATTAGCCCTAGCGACCGAGCATTTACGTTTGTCATCACTAAATCATCGAGGGGCCCAAAGATATCGCTTTTATCCTACTTTGGATAAAAGGAACGGATAAACTTTGATACAATGCTTGCTTGTACTCACTCACCGAATCACACACAACAATATGTTTTATGACACCAAGTTACTGGTGCGTTTACATATTATCAATGTGCAACCGATTTGCAAGATACAACTCACACATCTCGGTTTCAAGAATATAAGATGTTATCGTCTCACCAATCACTCGTGATACAATTCATGGATTGATCCAAGTGAGCGTGGGTTTAATCCAATGCTCAAATCTTATTCATAAGCACTCATGAACGTTGCAGCAAACATTTGCTTATGTCTAATACCTTTTAGACAATCCACACACCAATTCACGACAGTCTTCATTCATATCTACTTCCAACATATGAACGACTGTGGCTCGTTCGAATAATTTGACTGTTCTCAACCAATTAAATTATTCAGGAAGTCAAAACATGCAAAGTGAAACACAAGAATAATACTAATCCCATATGGCCTCAAACCTTTGAGTATAAATAAAACACCTTTTATTTATCACCATATCGATTACTCATTATTTGTCGTTTTGGGTAATCAAATTCTTACTTGAATTATTACTACACTTGTCCCATGCTCCTAGCATGCACACAATGTTTACATATGGTTCTTACTTTGTGAAATAGATCAAATTGAACACATTTCCAATCATTCTCATTTCACAACTCCTAATCCTTTTTCATAAGTGTAAGAATATCAAATTCTTGCTACTTATAGAATATGCTAGATTCTAACATTTTATGCAATGATCCTTTCGTAATATCACTACACCAAAGTCACAAAGACTATTGCCAATGAAATTACAAAGTCTTTTATCGGAGATTGTTACAAGCCAACTCCTTAGATATGATGTCTCTCATTCAAAGTACATTCCTTTGAACATCCTTTTGCATAAAAGTTTCTAATCTAGACATAGATTTTCAATATTCAATTCCTAATATGGACACGCTTCCATATTTTCCATATGACAACTCATTCTTAATAGAATCTTATTTATTTGTAATAATGTCGACATGGTCCATCCAATATGGAAACATTTCCATATTTTTCATATGACAACTCATTCTTAATAGAATCTTTTCTATTCATAATAATGTCGATATGGTCATCCAATACCATGCTTCCAACTACTCACAAGCAACCAATCCTTATCGAACTTTGGATTGTCC